AGGAAAGCATCCCGTGCGTCGCAGGCGGCTGCGTCGCTCTGTGGAGGCGCAGGCCCGACGCCATGGACTCCCCCCACGCACGACCCACAGCTGATGGGCAGCGAGGCTCACCCGCCGCTGCTGGCGGGGGCAGGAAAGCATCCCGTGCGTCGCAGGCGGCTGCGTCGCTCTGTGGAGGCGCAGGCCCGACGCCATGGACTCCCCCCACGCACGACCCACAGCTGATGGGCAGCGAGGCTCACCCGCCGCTGCTGGCGGGAGCCGAGGCAGTGCAGGGCGCGCTGGCAGGCATGCTCTCCTCCCAGCCCGGCGCGGTGCCCATGTTCGTGGCCAGCCTGCGCATGTTCATGGACAGCCTGCCGCGCGTGCGCCAGCTGGTGGTGCCCAGCCTCTGCGCCGGCGGCCGGGCGGCGGTGAAAGACGGCCACGCGGCGGTGAAAGACGGCCACGCGGCGGTGAAAGACGGCCACGCGGCGGTGAAAGACGGCCACGCGGCGGTGAAAGACGGCCCCGCGGCGGCCGACGGCGGGCAGGCGCCGCTGAACGGCGGCGACCCGTTGCCGCCGGGCTATGCGCCCGGCCCCAGCCTGATGACGGTGTTCGCCGGGGTCCCGGTGCTGCGTGCCCCCCTCCAGGCCATGCTCCTGGACGTCATGCTGGACCACTGCCTGACCGCGCGCATGGCGGAGGCCGCTGAGGGCGGCGCGGCGCGTGGCGACGCGGGCGACGGCGCCGCGCCGGCGGCCCTGCCGCCGGCCCCCCGCCTGGCCGCCCAGGGCGGCGGCTCGGTCAGGGGCCTCAGCACGGGCCTGCCCCCGCGCGGCGGCGGCGCCGCGCAGGACCGCCCCGAGGACGACGTCGGCGAGCGCGGGGCGGCGGGCGGCGAGGACGGCGCCGCAGAGCACCCCACCGCCGATGCCACGGCGCCGGCCATCACCGCGCCGGTAGCCGACGCCTGCGCGCCCATGGGCGCCCGGCCCCACGAGCGACGGGGCGAGCCCGGCGCGGCGGCGCCGGCGCCGCGCTCCGAGGTGGAGCAGGTGGTGGCGCTGGTGCTGGAGTGGCTGCGCGACGCGGACCTGTCCCCGCCCCCCGCGCCGCCCGGCGCCCAGGCCGGCGGCGGGAAGGGGGCCGCCAAGCGGGCGGCCAGCGCGGCGGCGGCCG